TCTGCCCCACCATTGCTCGGGGAGCCTGGAAGGAGGACCCAGCCTAGCCAGACTTCCTTTCCAGGGGACCCTGTCTGTCCTGGGCCGGCCGGGGCTGGGGGAGGGGTGACGGGCTCTCCCCAGCAGAGGCAGCCTGGTGCTCCTGAGGGAAGAGACCCGCGTGAAAGTCAGAGTCAGAAGCCACCGCCCCCTCAGCTGCTGGTTGTGAAACTCTTTCCCTGCAAAACAGGCCGAATTCCCAGGCCCAACAACAGGCAAGATTTATCTCAGCTGGCATTAGAGAACACGGACTCAGAGAGGCTAAGTGACTGGCCCAAAGTCACACAGCCTACAAGGACCAGCCTGACCCCGGGCAGCTGTCCAGTTCCCGGCCCTCGCGGATTAACTCTCTGGTGGCTCCACCCATGCAGCTTCCTCCTCTGGGGCCCAGTCAGGGCTCAGAATGGCGCCCCGCCTTCCTCCTGCCTTCCCTGAGTCTAAAAGCCCCAGCCCCCTCTTCTCCTGTGCCCAGCAGCCTGGGCACTCAGACCACACGATTCGCGCTCTGCAGAATCTCACCCCAGCCCTGATGTCCCTTCGCCCCTGGGTCCGCCCGGAGCCCAGTGGTGTCTCCTTGGCTCCTTCCACCATGGGGCCTGAGACCCGGGCAGCGCACGGAGGAGCATGATGGGCCTGTTCTTAGCGGGCCCTCAAATGGCTTGGGACTTAAAAGCAGGGTGACTGGACACCCCACTCTGCCTGGATGCATCATTTGGGATCCCCCAGCTCTCCGCCTGCCTGCGGTTGAGTTCCATTCCCCAGGATCCCGGGTTAATGGCGTCCCCCGCTGGCTGTGGATTTCCCCTTCCTCCCAGCCCGCACCCCACACCTCTCCCCACACCTCAGCCTCAGGACTGTCTGGGAGCACAGAACAGACTCTTGGAAGTCGGGGAGAAGAGAGTGGAAGCTTCTCTGAACATAGCAATGGAGAGGGCAACTCTTCACAGAAAGAGGAGGGCTGAGAAGGAGTCTGTGTCGTGAGGGAGGCCGCTCCTGGCCTGGAGAATCTTCTCTGGAGGTAAGCCCACTCAGGGGAGCAGCTTTATCGAGAGCCCTCCCAGCCCGCTGGCCTCCCCCCCACCCCCTTGAGCAGAAGGGTGGGGGCTGGGGAGAAGAGATAACAGAAAGGGCTGGAGAGTTGGGGCCAAGCAGGCAGAGGAGGCAGACAATGAGGGGAACAGTCCAGGGAGGAATCTGAGAAATGCAGGAAACAGCAGAGGGCGGGAGGGAGAAAAGGCCTCAGGACTGGCGGGGATGAGACCAGGAGGCAGCGTCTCTGTGGGATCAAGGTGCCGACCCTGACACCAGTATTCACATTTCCAAAACATTCATCTAAAACCTTTAAGCTTCAGATTGCTGCGCCTCCTCCAGGTTCTACCAGTCCCAGCTCCTCAGGCCGGGCTGGGCTCACAGAGGCCGGCTCCAGCATTGCCCAGCGGAGGAAGACAGCGCACAGAGGGGGAGAGGAGAGAAGGCCTTGGTCACCCTAAAGCGCGGCCCCTCCAGTCCCGGGAGCAGTCGGTGTTGGTGAGTGAGTGTCGGCATGAATCCTGTAATTACCCCGCGAGGAGCACAATTATGCTTCATTGTACTTCTGTGCAAGCTAAAAGCATTAATTTAGTTAATGTAAACACGAAGGATATCTCCACCACGAGTTTTATAACTCTGTTTTGGCATTTGCCCTTTGTGGAGTGCAGAGAGCACCCCCGCCCCTAAAAATAATGAACTCAGGGAGGCAACTGGGTCTCTCTCAGCTCGTGGGGGGCGGGGCTTGCCCCCATCCCTCCCTGGGGGGCCCAGGGAAGGCCACCAACCTTAGACCCACCGTGGAATTCACTTTGATGCTTTTGTGGGGTTGGAGGAAACTTGGGGGAAGTCAGAAGCCAGGCCTGCCTGCCCGCCCGCCAGCCTTCTCCTCCATCCCCAAGATGCTCACTGTGGCCTCCAGCCAGAGTCCAGTCTCCAGGCAGACACAGAGGGTCAGGCTGATTCCCCACCTGCCCACCCCTCTCCTCTGGCATGAGTCCTGCGGGGACCCCCAAGTCCCAAATGGACAAAAATTGACAGGGCAGTCTGGGCAGACCCAAGGGTGTGAGCTGGCCCCTGGGAGAGGGTCAGGGTGTGAGCTGACCCCTGGGAGAGGGTCAGGGTGTGAGCTGACCCCTGGGA